AAGGCATGCAAAACTTTAATAGAAATGTTAGCGTTAAGTAGTGAATCAGCACCTGACAGCAACAGGTATAAATCAGCTGAAGTTCAAGATGAAGGATGCCTTCTATTTTCTATTTATTAACGATAAAGTAAACACAACAACTGGAAAGACAACAACATTCTCAGATGACGACTGCTGGCAAACAGCAAGATGTTGGAATTATAAATATGTCAATATCATTAAGTTATTGTCAGCTTTGCACATGAAAATACCTCAGATCAAATGGAGCTCTCTGAAGGCATCAATAAGCACATGAATCATGAAGATTCAAATGGATTATTCCACAAAGTTAGTCACCAAAGACTCTTAGATAAAACTGCCAGGTGAAAAAGGAAACAACGTAACAGCTTGAAAACACAAATGAGCAAACAAAAATAAACAGTAAGCTCTAAAGGTGGAAAGAACATCACCAACATGGTGCAAAAGGAACAGGAGCAGTATTTATTATTCAATAACCAAAAAATAATTAAAAAACCCAAAGCTCTGCTGACAACAATCAGCTGTTGAATACCTTGCTGATTTAACATCTTACTATCCTTCTCATTCCTCCCACTGCCTCACCTAGATCCACTTCATCAGAATTTAACCATGGTACTTCCTATCTTATTCTTAAGAACCGTGGAGTCCAGGCTCTTTACAGCAGATCTGTTATGTTTATTGGCAGACTTAACCCCATCTTCCCTTCCACCTTCTTCTCCTTCCTCCTATTTCTCTTCCTGACAAAAAAAAAAAACTTCCAATCATGCCAGCTGGCCTTTGAGGAACCCATTTCATCAGGTCAGCACCCGACTGTCATACTGATGAAACCACGATGTTCAGGCTTATCCAACAAACAAGATGAGGGCCTATCAGGTAGCACCTACTTTTAACATACAGTGCTGACTTCAGTGATTTATTTCATCTAAACGAAGATGACTACCAAAAAAGCAATCTCTGCTCTATGCTCTCTGGCAAGGACAACCTTGTCACCTGTTCCCACCATCACCCTTACAGTACATCTACCCCAGTGCAGCAAATTTGATCCCCTTGTTGATATGGAAAAGTCTAATATTTTTTTCCCCTCCTTCAGTTGGATCAACTCGATGGAGACAGTGGGAAGACGCGGCCAGTAGAGGAGCGAAACCTCAAGGCAGCAGCCGGCACTGAGGCCAAGCTAAGCGGA